TATGTTTCAAAATCTGGACAATTTAATCTACTCACAAAAAAAATCTTTTATTTCAACCAGCAGGAGTTTAAATTTTCATATAAATATGGACAATTTTTAGCATTCTACAGGAAATTCTTAAATAGAACAAATGTGGTGTTCGTATGGGTGAGACAGTATGATCCGCGAACGAAACATACAGAAAGGAACTTGCGACAACTACTAGAATATACACTTCCTTTTATTTCTCTATGAACAAGTTCGGTTTTATAAGTAATCCCAACTGATTTGTAAGAAATTTTTACAATATGAGGTGTATTAAACAGAAACCCTTTTGTTTCACAACAAAACACGATAGTAAAAATCTCCGGGCGCATAACAATTAATCTTCTATAACTGTGTAACTAAAACCTAACTTAATCCTAACTCAAGGCTAACTTAATACTAAGGAAATGACAAGGGAGATAGGACAATGGAAAGGTAGAAGAAATGAAGGGGTAACTTCACCTGGGCCTTTTCTTTCTTTCAGTTGATATGCACTTTGGTAGGATTTTTCTTCAACGATGATGGCTCTTGCTTTCACTATTCTTAATTCTCTTTTCCTTCTGGAAGTTCTCAAATACGCCAGTCATCCTATCTTTAATCATGGAGATTCCACTTCCTTAGGACAATTTTTGACCTATTCGGAGTCGTCCGCAAGCCTATTATTCGAATGTGGTTCCTCCTCAGTCCCTTACTTGTGTAAGGTTGCGGACTGAAAGGGAGTACAGTTTATCTCGTGTCAGAATGAGCCTAAGGGAAACCGCATATGTGGGCGATGGCAAAGGAAGCAAATGAAGAACAAGTGTTTTACAAGAGAAAACCCGTTTATTTGCTCAAAATCATGCTTACATTGATATTGGACAATTCCAAAATCTTGGTGTTCCCATGAAACGGTGAGAGTTCGGGTGATCAGTCGTAGCCCAGGTGAATGAGAAGGATCGCTGAACAATGCAGATGTTTGCTGTTAAGCTGCAGCGTCCTAGGTGATCGGTGATAGTACAACACAATAGATAAAGCACAACTGTAGGCTTAATCCAGAAGAGACTCTTCTTCGACCTTAAAGTTCCGATTTTTATAGTTTTTCCCCCACTATCATATTTGCATTTCAGATTGGTCCCTTGTCTCATTCCTCACTTCCCGATTGGTCTCTCCTTTGTCTCCAGGTGCAAGACGAAACCTTTTCAGGTCGCGGGAAAGGTCCGATTTGAGGTGTCCATCTGATACCTCTTTGTCGACTCTGCTCAGTGACTGTTTATAAAACAATAACACCTGCACTCATAACTCAGGTTGTTGTTTATACCACTTTTTGACGTCTAAGAATTTAACGATCATTTTCATCTATCAAAAATTCTCCCTTTTTTGTTCGAAAAGGTTTATCTTGGCCAACATTTTATAGACTCGTGAGTCAATGATTTACCTATTTGTGAGTGCTCGTGTTAGAGTTTGCCTTCTGCTAAGACCTTGACAGATAGTTTGACACATACTTAAACAGTTCCAAGTCTCGTTGTTTACATCTTGTGTCGCAAGAATTTCACAGTTTACTTGAGTTTGAACCTCGTCTGGGAACTCACACTTGATTATAACAAAAATTATTTTTGTCCTCGTTACAAAGTCACACTCAGAGCTCCATTCGACACATCTGACTCTCTCCATGTCTCATCGAAAAAGTGACTCATCTCCCAGCCGTTTCCCCAGGCCACCTCACCTGCTATTGTCTTTACCGATTCTCCAAATGGCTAATCCTACCCAAAGGCGATAATGGTCGTCTTGGAAGGTTTTAAAAAGGATAGATACAAGGAATAAAGGACATTGTGAGAATAAAATAAAATTATAATTATATACAATTACAAATATATATATATATACAATATGGCCGACAGCCACACAAAAAACTGGAGACCTGAAGCAGACTTATAATTAGGTCAAAAACATTTGTCCAAATTTACATGAAAAATTAAATTTGTGCTGGCTGGTTGGAATAAAAGGTTTTTATGAGTAAACATTATTTGAGATGAAAATTCATTTAGGGATTGAATTTTCAATGCATTAAATCCCAAAACTACGAAAAATTGAAAGACTATAAACACAGTAACATTAACATTGTCATTTATGAAGATTTGAAAGAACCAGTGAAGAAATACATTAAGTGAGAAAATACATTAAATCAGAGAACATTAAATCAATATTCTACTATATATGTGATTATTTTTGATTCAAATAATGTTTTAAATATTGTTTATGAGTCTACACCAAATATAATATTCAAAGTTGTTTGTCAGTAGAAGATTTAATGAGAGATTTAATGGTATATGATAATGCAACACATGGCAATCTGTCAAGTGGGAATGTCTCTCTTGAGAACTTTCTATAGGAACTGGCCTCTATTTAGGTACTAGACATGTGAAAAAACTCAAAGTCCAAGAAAAATCTCAAAGTGAGCCTGCTGGTCAGGTGTAAACTCACAACCAAATGGAATGCAGAAGTGGGGTGGAAACTTGTTTTAGTGAGGCAAGTGTTATCTGCATGTTTTATTATCAAACAAACTAATTTTTACAATTTAACAATCAATTTTCAGTAAAACATAAACAGAAAAAGTTTAGCAAGAATGTGTAAATATTTGACAAACAAACAATTCATGTTTAAAGAAACCCCAATAACAGTCAGTTTAATTATATAGAGACTTGAATAAATTACTTCAGGTAGACAGATGGGTGGGTGAGAAATTTTGGGATGGGCTAGGACTCCTTGGATGAGGCAAGGATAAGGGCCAAATGCATTGCATTGACATATACGATTAAATCTCTCATTAAACCTACTGACAAACAAGTGTGAATATTATATTTGGTATAATAGACTCATAAACAATACTTAAAACATTGTTTCATAAGCAACATCCATGCCTATGAAACTGATTCATTTAAACATGAGATAATTATATTTATAACAACAAGTAAAATGGCAAAACTGTATTTGGGACAAGATTATATCTCGAAGACTCACTACTAAGCGGAATTACTTTGACGCTCAAGGCAGGTCTCGTTCTCATTTTCCAATCTTCTTTGGTATTGCTGCTTTTGGGTGCGATCGTTCAAATTTCGCTGGCTACAACCATGAGGTCATCCATGATGCATTTTTGACGGAATTAATCTATCCAATTTCCAAATTTCTCTCCATTGCATGTCAGCCCGGGTTGAATTTTTGTCGATGTGTAATGAAAATTTCCCATTTTTGTGAAAAATAATCGTGGTTATTGTATCATCCAAAATTATTTTTTTATTTTGCACAAACAATATACAGTTTAACCCGATTATAACGTCATCGAATGTAATGACAACCCTAATATAATGTCAAATTTTTATTGGTCCGACGATTTTACTATACTAGTTATTGTTAAAAAACCTACTTGTAACGACACCCTGTTTTAATGTCATATTTGAAGCACTCCAAATTTACAAAATTAGATTACAAATTTTATTTAACATAGAAGAAACTACGTGTTCAGTCCTAAGCTCAGAGTTCATTTCTTAGAATGACTGTGGGTTGTACTCTCTCCACCTGACTTCGGTGGGGTGAGATGCCTGTTTTGCCTGTTTTTAGAAGAGGGTCACCATTTTGTATTTTATTTTGACTCGGTTCTCGGTCCCCTGAATACGTACAAGCCCAAATCATTTGCGCATAAAAAAATGGATTTTTTTATGCACAAATGATTTGGGCACCAAATACTCTGTGCCAAATATCAACTCTTAACATGTACTCCTTCATACCTCTAAGCTGATAACATAAACCAACAGTACGATTTTATAAACAAGATCTTGTCAATAAAATAAACTTATAAAATATAAATAAAAAATATATTATGTAAATCATTTTGATAAAAAATATAATGATTGTTAAAAGACAAAGTAGTAGTTATTATTTCATTTCAAAAACAGACAGCATCACTTGCAGCACTTGATGTTTGTTTTAATCTCTTATATTTTAAAAAATATTAAATATTTTTTATAAAAAATTAAATATATTGGAACCTAAATTATAATAAGCAATTATTTATTGTGACATTATCACAATGCCAGGCTGCAATTTTTAATCATATTTTTAATTTATTTAGTTTAAAATATATACCTTCCATCTCAAATTAGCAGTGTCTTGCCCCCATCATACTTTTTCATTAGCAATGGAGTCATGCCAGTCATCTATTAACTGCTTTCAGGGGAAGTTTTGAATCAAAATAACTTGACTTCTAGTTTGCTCAGGAAGTTCACATAGTTAATTGGGGCCTCCTGTGCCTAATTTTCCATATCTGGTCTTGTCTTTCATCTATCTAACTCCATTCTCAAGATTAAGGAAAGATAGATGGACAACAATAGGAATTTATAGGAACATATTGGAAACTGCAGTTGTTGGGCTACAATTTTTCAAATTGTAGCCCAACAACTGCAGCTTCCAATATGTATTATTTGAAATTTTTAAGCATATTGTTTTTCTAACTTAAATAAATTAACTAATATTTATCTAGCATATATACAGGTGATAAATCAGCCTAAATACTGTATAATAATGGATGCAAAAACAAAATTAATTCAAAGCAATGTTGACATTTATCATTTAAACCAGTGATATTTAAACTGTATTTCAAGAAATCCTAGTTTAACAGGCAACCTTCAATGGTTCCACAAAGATATTCATTAATTTTTATTTCCAATAATACTTTCATTTAAAATATTAAGGATTAAATATCTGTATTTTATGTAATTATAAGAATTTTTGGAAATCTAAACAGTTTTAGTATTTTCCCATATTATTTTTTTTCTTTAAATGTAACTGTTGCCACAAAAATAATATTCAGATGCAAGTTTTCTGTACATGTTAAAAGTTTAAGCACCACTGATTTACACTATGATAACTTTGTTTATTTTATACATAATACAGTATTATATAAGATTCTGTAATAAATATAGAGATTACTTAGTTTGATTTACCTGCGGTAGTTTACAAGAATTCAGTGTACGGCTAAATCTGATATCTACATCATCCTTAAAAAGTCTTGGATCATTCCTGTAAATGAAAACATTTAGTTAAACAACATTTAAATGTAAATATAACAGAATAAATTAATTTTCAAATGATAATTTAGTTATCATCAAAATGTGAAAAAATGCTATTTTGAATGTCAATGATTTTAACTTAATACAATATTAAAAGGAAATATTTTGTATGACAAAAAATTTATAAAATGTCAGAAATGGAATTCAGTGCATCAATGCTTTTACTTTAACTAAAATCTCTAGTATAATTTAATATTAATCTTACAACTGGACTAAATTTTTCTACATCAGGTTTATCTTAGTATTTGATATTGGATATAAGTTTATATTTTGTTTTAAACCAGATGGGTTATCTGAAAAGAGTAAACCAATTTCTCTATATAACTTCCAAGTGCTTCAATGAAGATTATAGAGATGAGAGAAATTCATTATTTTTAAGATTTCTCTGGATCATATAATTTTCAACCAGATCAAGAAGCAAAGGAAAAGAAGTTCCTTTCATCAAATCTTCTCACTGCAAGGATTGAGGATTGAGGATTGAGGAGATGGCAAATGGGGAAAGAGTGGAGATATCAGAGAAATTTTATGAAATAATTAATTCTAATCCAATGATGGTCAAAGAGGAAATACTGAGCAGAGAAATGGTGATACTGAGAGACTGATTTCGATGATGGATGAAGTTAATAAAGAATATTTGAGATGGATGATGGCTCATGAACTTAGCAAAATGAGAGAGTAAACTGTAGAGAAGGAATAAAAGAGAAGGCTTAAAAAATTTTAAATGATGGATGGATAAAAATCAGCTTATTTTTTTTTAATCTTGTTGATTCAATGTTTTTAATGTCCTCTTTTATTTTCTAACTTAGGAACTAAGAGCAATTCTTTATTAAAATCAATTTAACTCAATTTACAAATCTCTTTAAAAAGAGAGTTATAATATGAAGCATTTTTCCATTGCAATTTACATTTTAGATAGAAAGTTCTTCTTCAGTTGCTCTTATATTTAGTGGGGTAACCATCAGTAAAACTTAAGCATTTACATATTGGGCCCATGATTATGGGATGAATTGTAGAGTTGAGCTCCTGCCAATACCTAAGTTTTTCCAATAGTGTTCAACATTATGGATATCAAATATACAAGCAACTGAAGAGGGACTTTCTGTCTAAAATGCAAGTGCAAACAAAAAGGTACATTATATAAGGTACCTTCTTGTGAATTGAATTAAATTGATTTTAATAATGAATTGCTCTGTAAGTCAATGTCAGTTCTTAAGTTGGAAAGCAAAAGAGAAAAGCTTATTCTTCTTCTAGAGCCAATAAAACAAAGGAAATATAATAAGAAAGAATATACATATATACATACAAATATATATCTAACTAAATGATGTGATCTAAATATATACTGTAATCATTTGGCTTTAATAAAAAAGAATGTACTGTACACATTAAAATGTTAATAGATTTAATTGAAGGAGACCAATGCATGAGGCTAGAAAAAGATCCCATTAATGCAATTATGCCAATCCTGAGTAAATTAGTTAACAAGATTCAGAGAGCTTTTGAAAGAGCAGTATGAAATAGGTATCCCTAGCAGCCTTGTTTGGATATATTAAAACCACAGATTTTCTTTTGATTAATCTATTGAATAAGTAATCTCCTGATTCAAGAGAAAAATTGTTGGCGTGACATCCACTCTACGTATTTACTTAACAAGTAATCTCCAAGATTTACTGTAATTTTCTGCCTGTAATTCATGAGAACAATTTTTCATGGAAAAAAGTTTATTATCAGTGACATATAATCTGCAGGAATATGTTTTCATTAGCAAATAAAGATTATTGTCATTTCATTGTACCAGAAGTTTCCTTGTAGTGCAATGAAATTTTAAAATCTAAAATTATAAAGCACAGTTCATGTGTGATTTATAATGGCCAGTACATTAGAAAATTACTTTTGAGTCTAAGCAATTAGTTGCACTTGCTAATAATGGCAAGGTAAGTTATAACAATAATTAAATACTAAATATAACACTAAATGGACAGTGACTCCACGTCAAGTAAAAAAGTCAGTGACTGACTGACTATATGTACAGGAGTAAGAGTTGCTGATTTTTGGGTTATATTCTATATAAAAATAACTCATAAGGTTAAACTACAACTTAGGTTTGCACCATTAGTATCCAAAAAGTAAAAATAAGCTTCTCAGCCTAGCATTCTATTCTCAAATTTATAATGAAGTTAAAGTGAATTAAAATAAATACATGAATTAAAATTAATAATAAAAATAAAATCAATTCCATACAAAGATTGCAAATCTCTCAGTGTGATTTTTGATTTCTTTGAATATGATTATCTTTCCTCATGTTTTTGTGAATCCTTTTGTATTAGTAAAATATCATAATTAAATCATACTATAGTACCATTCAAAACTGGGTATACTTGAATTAAAACCTCTAAAAGAACCTAAAATCCAGCAAATTTTTAATAAGTGCTAATGTTTTCACTTGTGTTGAATGGGCATCATCAGGCAAACTAACCCAAGCTGCTGAAACAATAGGGAATTGTCATACACATGTGAAGAGGGGAGGTGACATAAGAAGAGAGAAAGGGAAGGGGAGATAGTAAGATTTATAATTTGAAGAAAAACTTCCATGCAGTGGGGAACGAGTCAACATTGCAAAAATTGTTAATAGTGTTATTGTGAGTGGTCTTATATATTTCCACCTGCTCCAGTTGTTTGAGAAAGGGTTGCCTGGAAGAACTATGTAAGAGGCATGCACTGTCAAAGTCTGCATCAATGTCTGGGTCAGAGGCAAAGATAGCCAATGCAATGTTGACCAATCCTTTCATGATGAAAGTCTGATGTTCCCTGAGACAAGTGTTTAAAGGAGTGTTGTACTATCTATGTATTCTAAATAGAGGCTGGATCTATGATCAGTGATGGGGATAGAGTAGATGCCTGGTTAGAAGTACATGGCCAGACAGTCTTTAGTGTTTTGGAGGAGGGAGGAGGGACTTCTACAGAAGACTAAATGAAAGTTATTTTTCTTGGATATTTCCTTGTATAAGGAGGCTAGTTTTCTGTCATAAGTGACAGTCCTGTAAAATGTATCCCAGGTGCAATTTTTCAGTGAGACAGAAGCGGCAGGGGAAACATGACGAATAAGGCCTTTAATAGTCTGTGGAGAGTAACCATACTGAGTTGTGTACTGGGTGATTGTTTCTAATCATCATCTAGTATGCAACTCAGGAGCTCTGTATCTCTGTCATGCATGTCCAATGAATGGGTGAAGGCACTACAAATTAAGGCCCTGAACCCAGCCATCTTGAAGGTGAATGGATCGTGGGAAGGGGCAAGAATAAAGGTCAGGTGGTGTGTAGGTTTTCTATAAACCTGTGTAGTGATACATCCTTTGGATGAGGAAAGCTGAAGGTCCAGGAAATGAATAGTTTGAGCATTGTCTTGTTCAAGGCAGAACCAAAGACCGTGAGGGTTGTTGATTTTTTTGCAGGAATTCTTGGATACGGGATTTGTTCTGCCAGATTATGAGAATGTCGCTATATACCGTGTATATAGGAGTATGTGGTTGATGAAGGTGGAAAGGACGGTGGTCTCAAGCTGCTGAATACCTAATTTGCACAAAGTGTCTGATAGAGAGCACCATCACCATAACCTGATAAACACCACCATAACATTTTAGAACTAGCTGATCTACTTTGCCATACTTCTTTCTTTTCCTTTGAAGGCAACAGGCCTTAATTTGTAGGGCCTTCATCCATTCATTGGACATGAATGACAGAGATACAGAGCTCCTGAGTTGCATACTAGGTGATCATTAGAAACAATCACCCAGTGTGCAAATCAGTATGGTTACTCTCCACAGACTATTAAAGGACATGTCATCTTTCCCCTGCCACTTCTGCCTCACTGAAAAATCGCACCTGGGATACATTTTATAGGACCGTCACTTATGACAGAAAACTAGCCTCCTTATACAAGGAAATATCCAAGAAAAATAACTTTCATTTAGTTTTCTGTAGAAGTACCTCCTCCCTCTTCCGTAACACTAAAGACTGTCTGGCCATGTACTTCTAACCAGGCATCTACTCTATCCCCATCACCGATCATAGATCCAGCTGCTACTTAGAATACATAGATACTACAACACTCCCTTTAAACACTTGTCTCAGGGAACATCAGACTTCCATCATGAAAGGATTGGCCAACACTGCATTGGCTATCTTTGCCTCTGACCCAGACGTTGATGCAGACTTTGACAGTGCATGCCTCTTATATAGCTCTTCTAAGCAACCCTTTCTCAAACATCTTGAGCAGGTGGAAATATATAAGAAAGAAAGAAATGAAGAAAGTACCTTCATTCAATACATTATTATGGGGATGAATCATAATGCAAGAGAGTAATAGAAGTATCTCCGCTGAAATGGAGATACTTCTATTACTCTCTTCTAAGAAGATCTGGGCACTAGAAAAATCTTACTAAAACTTTTTTTGACAAGAAAGGCCTATTGCTGACTTTTATGGCCTGGAATGAAACAGTCAATGTCACATACTACTGCTCATTTCTTGAATGCCTTTGCAAAACAGTAAAATCCAAAAGTTGTGAGAAGTTCACAGATATACTAACAGTTCAACTGGGAGATTATGAAATACCCACCTTTTATTTATCTACACTCACACTTTGCAATTATCATTTGTTTGGGCCTCTAAAGAAAACTCTTAAAGGAATGGAGTTCTTGTTGAACAATGACATCAAAGATGCTGTCTAAACATAACTCCAGACAATGCCTAAAAGTGCTTCCATAAAGCTATCCACTGGCTTCTAAATAGATGGGATAAATGCCTAAATGCACATAGTGGTTATTTCTAAATGTATAAAATATTTCTGGCAATAAACACCATCTCTCAGAATTTCTGGATCACATCTTATAATTAATTGCATATTTGATGCAGTATTTTATAATTGAAGAAGCAATATAATTCAATGCATAT